TATATATAAATACAAAATATTAAATAATAGTAAAAAATAATTCAAACAGAAGAAAACATATTTTATATTTCCAAAACTGTTTTACTATCATCACTAAATTTGAAAGAATTTTTCCTTCATTTTTATTGCATAATTTAAATATAAGATTTTTTACTTTTGTTTCCAGATTATTTACTTTTATTATGATAGAACACAAAATATAAACATTATATATTTTTTAATATGCTAAACATATAAGATGATTTTTTTTATATTATTTATTTTTGTCCAATTTTTGAAATTTACTTTATTGTATTTGAACTTTTATATTTAAATAAAGATGAAATATGAAATCAAAATAGAAAAAGAAAAGGAGACCTAATGGAGTGGGAGTGGCACACAAAGCACCCACTGAAGTTCCCTGGAGCTTCAAATTTGTATAGTGTATAAATATAGACTTGAAAATATAGAAATATCGGACATGGATGTAATACAGTTCCAAAATTCCAATCAATGAAGACAACTTTATTCTTTTTTCCATTCTTTCCTATCCATCTGTGTATAACACAATTTTTCTCTTCTGTTTTCTTCTATTAAAATAAATCACTATCTGCTCAAATATGATTCAAGCATATCGAACAAGACCCTGTGTGTCAAGTACCTGGGAGACATTACGAGACATCTAAGTCAGTCCCAGAGAAAAAACTGTTCGACAGAAAAATAAACACTAGGCACTTGAGCAGTGAACGATGGCTTCAAAATTAGTATAGGCTCTTCTCTATAGTATTTCTTCTTTTCCAGTCATGTTTGGTGTTCTTGTTCCCTCTAAAATTTTTCAATATTCTCGTATCACCCCAAATTTCTTCTCCCTGACTTCACAGGGCTAAAGGTGGATCTGGAATCTCTCCTTAAAAAAAGATTTGACCTTGTGCCTGTCCTACTTATTCTTCTTTTCCCTGTCCTACTTATTCTTCTTTTACCTGTCCTACTTATTCTTCTTTTCCTGAACCTGACCCTGTCTGTAAGAGCGACACCGGGCTTTGTCTCTTCCTCATTACTCACTCTATTAACATGTATTGCAGGGCGAGGTTTCTCTGCTGGCCAACCCCTGTAAAGTATGACTTTGCTAGGTTCCCGAGAGACTAGAAGGGCGCCAGTTTCTTGCTGCAAGAATAACAGGGAAAAGATAAATTACATATGTAGGGAATTTTTGCTGCCCAAGAAAATAAAGAAAGATTCAACGACGAAGAGACGAGGAAAAGGGGAGGGCTTTTCAGCATGTGCACCTCTAGTTTGAACACCAACTCCTGAACTGAGGTCCCTTTTGCCCTTCCTTTGACATTAACTATAGCAAGTGGGTGCCTTTCGAAGTGAGCTTTAATTGTTTGCACAACACCAGACACAATATTGCTCTTTCCTGAGAAGAAAGTATGGGCATAGAAAAGAGAGACATGATAATACTCCTCCCAATAGCATAATTTCAGGGAAACACGAAAGAAAGACAACACAAGACAAAACAAGAAACAGCTGTGAGAGCCATCTGGAGAAAAAGTAATTAATCCGTCGTTCAGAATAAAAAATTATGAAGATGTTGACATCTATGAAATATTTATCCCCCAGCCCCCACAAGAAGTGAGATAAGAAAAGGTAACAGTTTGTGTCATTTCTTTATTTTAACAAAGGCCAAATCCTAGAGTGCTAGTCCCCCCCACCCACAAGAACAGTGAACAATCAATATTGGCATGAGGCAAATAAATCTGAGGACAATACCTATGGCAAGGACAGGTTCCTTTATCAACTTTAAGGCCTGCTTCCGTAGTAGAAGTCTCTCTTTGGTGGAAAGATGAACAGATTTAGAAGGCAAACTCACATTAACCACTGGAACTGATGATTCAGGATCAACTTTTTTGGACAATGAGATTGGTGATTCCATTGCCTTGCTATTAAAGATACAATGCTCAGTATCAGTCACAGAATCACTCACTCCACCCAACTGAAATCCACATTATTTTACCAAATCAATATTTAAAAATGAAATAAGAAGCCAAGAACAAGTCAAACTGACATAACCAAATGATAATCCAGGAGAGAATTGTGGTCAACAGTTCAATTTTTATCAATCAAAGCCATGTGCTTACCTGTGTTTCTTTAGGAATCAAACTAGGCCAGGGTACCGGTTCATCTTGATGAGCTCCACCACCATCAATCAGCTCAACTGGACACCCCTGTATTGCTTGTTGATTGTCCATGGTAGCTTCTCCAGAAGAATTCCAACATATGGAATTTTCTGGTTCACCTTGATGAGCTCCATCGTTATTGATCAACTCAACTGGCTGCTCCTGTATTGCTTGTAAATTTTCAACAGAAGCTTCTTTAGAAGAATTCCAATTTATGGAATTTTCTGGTTCACCTTGATGAGCTCCACCGCTATCAATCAACTTAACTGGCTGCTCCTGTATTCCTTGTTTATTCTCAACAGAAGCTTCTCTGGGAGAATTCCAATTTATGGAATTTTTCAGTTCACCTTGCTGAGGTCCGCCACTATCAATCAGCTCAACTGGCTGCTCCCATATTGGTTGTTGATCATCAACAGAAGCTTCTTTAGCAGAATTCCAATTTATAGAATCTGAAAAGGCTTCATATTTGTCTGTAGCCTTGAATCATGCCACAAACTATTTCAGATATTATTTAGGGAACTGTACCAGTAACAACATTGGACTTATAATTCTTACTGAATTTCTGCTCTGATTCTTTCATTCAAAAGGGAAAATTAAAAAATGAAATAGATACAATTAAAAAGAAATATCATTGAAACATTCATTGTTCACAGATAAGACATTCACATATCCACAACATAAATAGATACAAATATTATATACTTTGAATGAGTTCTTGTTTGATATTTTAGATTAAAAGAAAAATCGAGAGAAAGGAATAGGAAAGATAAGTCAAAGAGAAATTGAGTAGAAAAGATATATTATTTAGATGAGTAAAAATAAGAAGGAAAGAAGCTGAGAAATTTTTCTCTGCTTGTTTGAATGAGTGGATGAAAATAATTAAATATATTATATAAAAAAGATATTTAAACTAATTAAAAAGATTAAGGATAACTAAAAAAATTTGTTTTTTACTATATATATTTTTTTCATTACATAAAATTATTTGTTGTTATGAAAAAAATATGAATTTAAAAAAAAGTATAAAAAAAAAAAGCAAATGTAATAAACATTTCCCTCCTATTTCATGTCAACTTATGGGAGGAAATACACTTTTATGTGGAGTGGAACCCACATAAAAACTTTGTTTCTATTTCTCCTCTCAAACAAACAGTGGAAATATGGTATTTCCATCCTATCTCTCTCATCTACATATCCTTCCTCTATTTCCACCGAAACAAACATATAGTAAAAGAAAAGGCACAGAAATTTGAGTTCAGCTGTTAACCCTAAACATTTATAATGGATCATATGGTCTGGCCTGATGCAACCAAAATGCTAATATAATATTTGTAATATGGAAAGGAGATTAGAGTTAAAGAAGTAGCATGAGATAGTTTACCATGTCAAATTTCAATGCTTCAGCTATCTGCTTGCTGTTTGCCTCCTTATCTTCAACCTAGTCAGGTGAATAATCCATATTGCATAATTGAAATCAAGGGGAAATATATTTCAGCAACATAATAATAAAAATGAAGACCACTCACCATTTGAAGTTTCAATTCTTTTATTTTCTTATCTAATGTCGAAATACGAAGCTTCAACGACTGCAGGAAATGAGTAAAAAGGAATAAGGAGGTGGTATGTATTTCATGTAAGATTTGCAGTCAATCCTTTTTCAAACAAATAAATAGTGAGGATGACACTCCATGCCACGATGTAGTGATCACCTCTTAGATACCACTGGTAACAGAATTAACTCCAATCTACCAAATAAATGTTGCATGTAATGTGCTTTTCCAAGATAAGAAACAAGTTCTTTTAGATACTTTGTTATATTTAAGTGTGTTCATATAAAAAGAAAAACTGAAGCACTAAAAACAAATTAAAGAATAGTTTTCTTTTTTTCAGATAGGCTTTTGTGCTTCTAATGAAAACAATTTTACCTCACGGCGCTGTGCCTCTATAGAACGCTTCAATGCTTGCTTTTTATTTAAAAGCGTTTGAGGCCTCAAACAAGCAGGGCAACTATAATTCTTTCCACGATACACAATGATTGCAAAGCCCTTTCTCACTCTCTCTACTGCTACTAATATTCCACCGCTTTCTGCCTCTAAGGTCAGAGCTATCTGATACACATCTTCCAGGCTTCCATTACATATTATCTTCACAAGTTCCCGGTACTTCCAATGTAGATGCATATTTTCCACCGTTCCATCAAAAACCCCTCTTCTACCTGAGAATAAAGAGAGGACTTATAAGGAAAAAGGTAGAGTTGTCAAGTATTTTAAATAGCTTTAAAGATCTCATTCACTTCATTTCAAATTTAGAATAATCAGCTATTTATGATTGTGAAATTCAAAAATCATCATCAAGAATCACCTAGTAACAGGAAGGGCTTCATTGTCAAGCCAATCCTTCGCAACATACATTTCTCTTCTTTTGTAATACCCTCTTTATCTATTTCTTGTTCTTGGGGGATCTCTACCAGCTCTGCTAGAAGACTTTCAGCCTTTTCTTTCTTTTCTAATGCCTGTATTCAAACCTATACCATCTGTAACTCAAAAAAAAAAAATGTAACAGAAAATTGAAGCTTTTAATGAAATCATACCATTGACAATTTGATGCTAGTTCTTTTAATAGCTGCTTCAGCCTTAGTCAACATTTGTCGTTTAGTGTCCTTATGGAAGTTCATACCCTTTACTTCAGAATCACACTCTACGGTTCCATCTTTCTGGTCTGGAGTGACTGTAACTGACGAACTGTTTCGAGCCTTTAGTTTGCACATTACAATATTCTTCTGCTGTTTAATGGCTGAAGACACTGCTTCTGGCAAGTAGTCCTTTCCTCTATAGAAAACAATGAATTCTCTATCCCGAGAAAGGAGAATTCCCCCAGTCAGATACTGCAGAGAAGTAGATATTTTATTAAGCTGAAATTGCGATATAATGGTATAATATGTATCATTTTGGTTTTAAAGCAAGATTGTGTTGTATCTAAGTTCTTTCAAATCAACTATCTCAACTAGTTTACTATTGCTACAAAACTAATGCTTAACTAGTTCCCCCGAAAGTTGTGCCAGGTCAGTAATGCAATTAAAATTAAAACTGATAATGGATCTTTGTGTTATTTTATTCATCTCTTGAGAAGGAAAAAGAAAAAAAATAAAAAGCCAACCCTATCAGTTTTAAATTTCATTAAATATTGAAAATTACCAGCTGAAACAACAACTGACCTTTAACTCACTAGCCATTATCTTACTGCTAGTATTCTGCACACCTCTCTTTACAGCAATCTTGACAATCTCACATCTTTCCCAAAGCTTAATAATTGCAGCAGCCAGTCCTTGAAGTTTCCTGTTTCTACCTGTGAGCAAAAGAACAAGAAAAGTGATTAAACCATATTTTGTTCAGGTAAGAAAAGTAGGTCAAATTTACCTAATGCAAAATGACAGGGTAAAGGTCTGCCAAGTCTCTTCAATGTGGTCATTTCTTCAGCTGTTAGTTTAGGCTCCACACCATATGGAAGAAGGCGAAAAGGTTTCCTATATCCAGGAATAACAGTGGGTAGAAGATCAGCATCGATAGGCAGAGGGTCACATCCCCACCAATCAGTAAATCGTGGCCCAAGCCCTGTTAGCAAGCAGTCTGTATCTTCTGCAAGCTCTGCCTCATCAGGCAATTGAAACCGTACTATATTGGGAGTACCTAAACCTAATATCAGAGCTGGTTTTGCTGTTTCAACATTTGAACTCTGCACCGCACATGGTGCTGAATTTATGTCAAATAAGTGGCTCTCACTTTTGTCACAATATTTATCATCATCTTCAACATGTTGCAAAGCATCACTAGTGTTTTCTTGTCTCAAAACCGTATCTGGTAGAAAGTAAGGATACTTATAATCAATCCCTCTGTACAATATTATCTTACAACCAGATCTCCAAACAACAAGGCCTCCAGTTTTTCTCTGACAATTGATTAAAAAAAAACTACAATCAAATAATGTATACATGGGGCACCAAAATCATACTGTAGGGGAGAAAAATGCTTTATTGGGGAAAGGGGGGGGGACTTAATTTCCACTTTGCCACCTGACTCAATTATTGGCTGGTGCACCGGCAGAAAACTCACAACACTTACTGTTTAACAATATTAACGGTTGCATTGCTGAGTTTTGAACCACATGGAATTTTTCTATATTTACTTATGACCACTTATACTTTAACAACTTGAGAGCTGCACTCTTGAGTTTTGAATCAACCACATGGCATTTTTCTATATACCATCTTAGAAAGTGAGTTTGAACTTAACTGAATCTTATAAAATCGACTTGTAAAATGAAGATTGTTCCCCACTTATACACACTCTTATAGCTTTATCTCTAGGTGGTCTAATAGCATATGACAAAATAGGTCCAACAACAATCGCTAACTAGGCTCTGATACTATCTCAAGAAAGTGAGTTAGAGTCTAAATCAACTTTACAAAACTGGCTTATAAGATAAAGATTATACCGCATTTATATACAATAATGGCCATATCTCTAAACAACGATGTGGGATCTCCGACACCTATGGTCAAAGAGGATTTCTTACATTTTTACCTAGAAGAAAAACTAAAAACCCGCATTGGGATTGACAATTATGAATCTCATTCTCACGGTACTAAATTTCTGTTTGGATAAATGTCTCCATAAACAATAATTATAAGATAAGAAAATAAGAAGGTAAAATGAATTGAACATTCCTCATAAATTAAATCAACTTATGCCCCTTAGCTTTCAAAGAAGTTGACCAGAGCCCTTCTATTAAAGTTAAGTGCATATTAGAAGAAGCTCAAATTATTTCTCCTTCTTATTTTGTGCTCCAAAAGTTAAAACCAACTTATGCATTTTAGCTTTTGAAGAAGTTAGACAACAAGAGAGTTTCTAGAAAAGTTAAGTGCATAAATTAATTTTCACATATGGTTAACATATGGAAGAAACTCTATTCATTTTTTCCTCCTAATTTTCTGCTATCAACTTCTCATAAGTTTGAGTTGAATGGGTATGCACCAGACAGTGTAAAGTACTCTTACATTATTAACCAATTGCAATTCATCATTGGTATGAAATTTTAGTTATTTGTTGTAAAAGTCAATAAATCCACTATATGCAATGGTTTGTGATTAGATGACAACTACAACTACATAGTCTATTTTGGGAAAACTTCTCTAGAAACACTTTTAGGAGAGAAATCAGAAAGGAAAAATGAAATAAGTTTCTCATTTAGCTAAATTAACTTATGCATTAGTAAATTTGTAAAAGTTCTCCCCTATTGCTTGTATACTCACTTATTCTCTAAGTTTTTAAGACGAAGTTTGACTTATGAGGAAGTTTATTCAACCGTAGCCTAACTGAATTTCATGTACATAAGTATTCATGGAAGCCAAAAATAAGTGCGTATACGAACAGAATTCTGATGCATCAGTGGTAATGCGGTTCACTCACCTCCAACAACTCATGAGTCCTTCTCAAGTCAATCCTCGAAAATTCCTCACAAACGATCCTCACCACCTCGGAACGCTGCCAGCAGTCGTGAATCACGTTCACTATCCGTTCCGTGACGCCAGCCTTCGCCAGCCTCACCTTCCGCTTCGCCGCGAACCCTAGCGTCGTGAGCCGCCGGATCTCGGAGTCCGGGAGGCTCAGCTCCGCCAGCGTCGGCACTGGTTCCTTCCTCCTCCTCAGCTCCTCTCTCCGCACCTTCTTCTGCCTCGCCACCTCGCTCTCGCTCAGCGCCGCGATGCCGGTCCCCGGGACCGGGACCGGGTTCAGCGGCGTGCTCCAGCTCGGCTCGAACGAGTGGCTCACGCGCCGCTTCGGGAGTTCGTGCGGAAACGGCACGAGGATTTCGCCGCCGGAGGAGGAGGGAGGCGGTTCGGTGATGCCGAGACTGCGGAGCTTCTCGGCGATTTGTTGAATTGCGGAGGAGCGGCGGGTTCGGGTTTGGGCTTGGTTTCGGGTATGAGTGTTGGAAGTGGAGCAACGAATGATGAATTTGGTTTTAGTTTTGGGGAATTGAAGAGGGAGAAAGTGCAACGAAGAAGAAGAAGAAGGAAAGGCGTGGAAGAAGTGGAAATGAGTTGCGGGAAGCAACATCTCAGTAGTAAGTTAGTTACTTCATGGATGACGAGACTATACAAAATACAACTACAAAGTTTGCACAGTTTATTTAAATAAAACAGTAAAAGTTTTTTCCACCATTAATTTTCATTTTGTTAGTAATTTTTTTTTCCACAAATTTCATTTGAGCAGAGAAATAAGTTTTTATTTTTTCTAAATCACAATATTAAGAGTTAATGCCAAAAATCTCGTATTTAAAGATATAAAAATATATTTAAACTTAAATAAAAATACAGCAAAATATTTTTGAAGATTTTGCGGATTTTCTTTTTATAGACCTATATATATGATACTATTTTCTTTCTTTTAATAAAATAAAAGACATCAACATGATATGAAATATTTGGGCCTAATACAACATAGTCCAATCCTTCTAGCTCCGCATCATATGGAATATTTGGGCCTAAGCTTACAGATGAGACAGGCTAGTAGAAGAGGGGGTGAAATTGAAAATTGGCCAGGATTAAAGCTTTTATGAATACGGGTACTATTATTTATTTATTTATGATGAAAACCTTATACGAAACACTTAAAATTTCGTCCATTTCTTTTTATAAATAAATAGGAGATATACAACGATACTTCAAAAGAGTTTTACGTCATTAACAATGTATTATTATGTACGATAATATTATTAATTTTCATAATAATTATTTTTAAAATCAATTAAATTTTTCATTCAAACATGAGATCATTAAAGTTCTTATTTTCAGTCTCTTAAAAAAATTAAGGCTTCATAATTTATATATTAACTTTTAATTAAAAAATTATTCATTAATTTAATAAATAAATATATCCCCTTATAATTGGTCTAATGATAAATACATTGTCACTATTTCTCTTTTAAAGACATTAATTATCATTAAAAATTTATTATTTAAATATATCAATTACTTTTATAATCAATCCAACAATCTTTTGTTTAATATTAATTCTAATTAAAAATTAGTTTAAACCTTTTGTATTCCTTAATTATTTTCTCTTATTTTTTTAGACTTCTCATAACATTCACATGTATCTTGCATCTCAAATTCTCAATCACCAAATTATTCATGAGTCCCATCTCTTCTCTTTCATAATTGACACCTTCACAATTCAAATATTTTGTCATCAATTACCTGAGTTTGTATTAGTTCATTATATTTTAGAAGGCAAAAATTATCCAACCCAATGATACATATTTTTTTCGTTTTCTTCTTATTATTGATTATCATCCTTCACTCTTTCTTATTTTTTTGGTGTTTAATTCTTTACAACACTCACGATCATTGTGAGACCCGTAGCTGGTATACACCTCCTTCCCTCCTAACTCTCACTCATTTTCCCTTTTCACTCTCTTGCTCACTCCTTCCCTTTTGATCTTTCTTTGGCTGTACAAGGTGATCGTGCGGAGTAATCGATTTTTAGCTGTTGTGTTGCGGATCTCTTATTCCTCCTTTCTCATTTCGTTCAAGCTTCCTTCAATCTTCTTCTTCATCCTCTCTATCCCGAAGCTCGGATCTTTGGCCCGAGGTAACGGAAGCTAGTAATTTTCTTTCTTTTGTTGCTGTTTTTGGCTGTGGATGAGTTCTAGAAACTCATTAGATGCTTATTGATGGCTGATTCGTGGCTGTGTTGAAAGAGAACTTGTTTTTGGGGGTTTCGGGGTTTTTGAGAAAATTTGGGGAAATCCTTGATTTGTTGTTGCATGTTGAAAAAGGTAGTATTTTTGGGCTCTTGGATGGAAATGTGATAATTTGAACTGATTGCATGTGGAGTTTTGCTGATTTTCTGCAGATTCTTGAAGAGTTTTCAAAAATATGAGGTTTGCTGCTGAACTCGCGCTGGGCATAGTTCTTCGCGCCGGGCGCGTGGCCATCTGAAGGCAGCACTTAGGCAAGCTAGCCTGGTGCAAAGATGTGTGCGCCGGGCGGGCTTGAAAGTGTTAGCCTCTGGATGGCCCACGCCGGGCGAGGGTTGAACCGCGCTGGGCGCGATGTAAGTCGTGACTTGTTTTGGGCTTCTAGCATGGCGCTGAGCGCGATTTTGGCTGTGCTGGGCGTGGGGACTCCTTGGAGTCTCTGCCATGGGAGGCGCCGGGCGCAATTCAAATTGCGCTGGGCGCGAGACCAAGGGAGGTCTCTGCCTTCCTCGCGCAGGGCGCGGGTTTGGGCACGCCGAGCGTGTGAGACTTCTTGAAGTCTCTGCCTGGCATGCGCTAGGCGCAATTGGTTATTGCGCCAGGCGCATGAGAGCCTTGGGCTCTCTGGTTGAGTCCTGTCGGGCGTGGGCATGCTTGCGCTGGGCGCGCTGGTCCCCTGGTGCCCTCGGGTTGCACTGCGCTGGGCGCAGCCACGAGTGCGCCGGGCGCGGAGGTGAGATTTTAATATTTGATGGTTAATGATTATTTGATGATAAGTTGATTTGAAATAGATGAATATGATGTGGTGACTAGTAGATAATGATGTTGATGAGGTTGGGCTGTATTAGATGAATATTGTTGTAAGATGTGTTGTAAAATGATGTGTTGTGTTGTGTTGTATGTTGGTTGAGTTGTTGTAGGCCGAAAGGCTGAGTTGTTGTAGGAGATCTCCGAGTTGATATGCGTGACGACGAATTGTATGCTTATGGATGAATTATGCTGTAAGGATTGACGGGATGCATATTGATGAAGTGTTTATAAATTGTAGTTGTTCTTATTACTTAAATCTTCCTATATGTGGTTTCTTTTTATGTTAGCTTACCCTTTTGTTGTTTTCCATGTGGTTGGACTGCAATGATCATACTATGTATGGGAGCAGAACAGGGATAGGTGGTGTATCTGTAGTTGACAAGTGGAGCTGACTCTTTTTGATGCTTTGTTTGTTTGTGTCACTTGGCATAGTGGCTTTTGATGTAATCCTTGTATTGCACGCCCTAACTCTAGTCGGACTCGGGACAATTGTATATATTTATATTCTAGATCCTATATCTATATACCTGTTCTAATCTGTCTAGTGTTTCCGGTGTGTTATGGTTGTGAGTGTAGTGGCCAGCCGGTTCGTTACACTTTAGTGGTATCAGAGCAGGTCGAGTCTAGTGGACACTCTTTGGGGGTGGTCCTTTTAGGCTTTTGTTGTGTTAACTCTGGATTGTGCTGTCTTGTTGTGTTGTTTGCTGTGTGGATTGATGTGATGAATTGTTGTGTTGTTAATTGTTGATTTGTTGAGTGGTAGTATACTGAAGATGTTGTTATTTTTGTAGACGATGATTAGAACCAACGAACAAATAGCCCGTGCCATAGAGATGATGGCTATGGCTATGCAACAGCAAAATGCTTATTTTGCTCGGATGGAAGCTGAGAGAGCTGCAGCTGGTGCAGCAAGGCCTACGGGGTCACAGGAAAGCCGGGACTTAGCTGAGTTCCGGAAATGTCATCCTCCACAGTTTGCGGGAGATGCAGATCCAGAGGCAGCTGACCGCTGGATATGTGAGTTGGAGAAGATTTTTGTCGTTCTGGGATGGGACATAAACTAAGTTGTTGATATAAGAAAAAGTAGGACAGAAAACATAGGAAGAAAACATAACCTGAACTCCAGGGTGCGTCTCATGGAAAAACTAAAGAAACTTATTCACAATAGCTTTTAGAAATGTCCAATGAGCTCTTAAAAACCAAGGATACTGTCCCACAACATACCTGCCAACAGAAACAATGGCATATTATTAAACAGAGGTATAACATCATTTAACATCGAGCAAACCAATACAAAAACATTTCTTACATGATATTACATGCAATAACAACTTTGTTATCTTTTCCCGTTGTGATTTCACAGAGATATAACACATCTCAAATGACCATGACAAAAAGTATGTATTCCTGCCACATAAACATGATGTGAGTAATAATCGTTTCAAAAAAAAATCACAACCAAAAGATAAACAAAGATACATGTCGTGATCACAATTTTTTTTAATTTTCTAAAAACAAAGGAGTCGGGTTCTTCGGGCCCGTGTCTTTCAACTGTCCCACCAGGAATAGACCGGAGAGGAGTACTCAGAGGAGTGATGCGCATAGAGCTGATACTCAGAGGAGTAGTGTGTAGAGGACCGAGACTCAGAGGGGTGACAGACCCACTGCATCTGGTAGGGTGTTCGCTTTGACGGGTGCTGAGGCTTCGACTTCTTCTGACCTAGTGAAGGGGAAAGGCAATGCTACTGGTAAGGATGTGATGCTTTTGTTTGACTCTGGGGCTTCCCATTCATTTATTTCATATGCTTGTGTTGCTATGCTGGGTGTGCCTGTGTGTGACTTGGTGTTGAGACTGTTAGTGTCGACGCCCGCTTCTGCTTCAGTAGTTGCTTCTGAGCTGTGTGCTAACTGCCCTATTGTTGTGAATGGTAAGAAGTACAAGGTAAACTTCATTTGTTTGCCTTTGGTTGATATTGACATAATCTTAGGGATGAATTGGTTATCTGCCAATCGTATCCTTATAGATTGTGCCAATAGGCGGTTGATTTTTCCACAGGAAGAGGATGAGTTGTTGATTTCAGCTGGCCAAGCTGAATCAATGCTGAGGGATGGAGCGGGGTACTGCCTTCTGCTTGCCATGATGAGTATGGAGACTGAGAGGGATATTTTTGAGATAGATGTGGTGAGAGACTTTGCTGAGGTATTTCCTGATAAGGTGTCTGGGTTGCCTCCTTTTAGGGAGATGGAGTTTAGCATTGAACTGGTTCCAGGTGCGGGGCCAGTGTTGGTGGCTCCCTATAGGATGGCTCCTGCCGAGTTGGTTGAGTTGAAAGGCCAGCTAGAAGACCTATTAGAGAAGTAGTTGGTGCGGCCGAGTGTTTCGTCGTGGGTGCTCCTGTGTTGTTGGTGAAGAAGAATGATGGGGGTAGTCGTCTTTGTGTGGATTACCGGCAGTTGAACAAGTTGACCATCAAGAACAAATATCCTCTTCCCCGGATAGATGACTTGATGGATCAGCTGAGGGGAGCATCGGTGTTTTCTAAAATCGATTTGAGGTCGGGCTACCACCAGATT